GATTCTGGGACGCAGCGCAGCTGGTTCGAATCTCCCCCATAGACTACAATGGATTCTATTTGAAGGAGTGACATTACACGCCACTGATGCTTCCAGTGTGCAGTAGGGTTACGCTTCCAGTGGAAAGCCAAGATCATACTTAAAACATAAATGCTGATTCAGGTGAAGAGGCAGTTATGGCAGGCAAACGTTCTGATTCATTCACGTAGTTTCTTTTAATGAAACTATGAACAATACAACAACCTAATGTTGATATGAGGTTCACTAACCTAGAAAAGAAGTGTGTTTACACATGGAATTATTAGATTGATAGTTATTGCTGTTGTCATAAAAATGGATCATTGTCGCTGTTGTAGAAGCGGGTTCTGAACTGTAATTGGATCCGTACATGGAGCGAGTTGTAGGTCTGACTGCAATGTCTTCCTCTTAGTTTGGAGTGGGTATACAATGCTGAAAATGTGTGTGTGTGTGTGTGTGTGTGTGTGTGTGTGTGTGTGTGTGTGTGTGTGTGTGTGTGTGTGTGTGTGTGTGTGTGTGTGTGTGTGTGTGTGTGTGTGTGTGTGTGTGTGTGCGTGCACGCATGGGAGGGAGAGAAGCCTGAAATAGCTCAGCGTGGAGGTGGGGGTGGGGGGGTGCAGCTCAGGCATGAAAACCAGCGTATCCAGTTACAGGATAATAATATCACTGCTGAGTCCATCCAGCAGCTGTGCACTGCTGCACTACATAATGTCACCAGCCAACATGTCCAACGTACACACACACACACACACACACACACACACACACACACACACACACACACACACACACACACACACACACACACACACACACACACACACACACACACACACACAAGCACTGGCAAAACAAATTCTCTTCATTTACTTTGAACAGTTTTCTGCAGAAGCTCCAGTTTGAGGACAAAGGGCTTTTCCATGAGAGTCCCACGTTAGCACGGGTTGTTCTTCCGTTTGGTTGTGGTTGATCTTCAGCTGTTAGGAGCCAAGCTCTTGGAGCGCGCACATTTCATTTGATTTTTGGATCAGACTGCTCCAGTTTTAGTCTGCAGGTGGAAATAAGTGTTTAACACTTTTGTCGTACATTTTTCTGGGTTCTGATTTAGATCTATTTATTTTAAACACTTTTTGTTGCAGGAAAACAAGTGAAGATACTTCACAATTAATTGTTTTGCGAAATAAGCAAATTGAAATCTAACAGCGTGGTAGTGAGGTGGGATGTAGGGCGGGGCTTTCCAAGCTGGGCCAGTGCTGAATTAACAGGGTATCCATTGATTCTTATGAACCCAAGACTATTTTAAAGACATTTGCCTTAAGACGAGGTGGTGGCGGCCCACAAGGTTTATTAGAACTTTTTGGTACCAAAATAAAGGTAAGAGTTCACTGAAGTTCTGAAAAGCAACACAAGGACAAGACTTTTCCTGCAATAAATCGATATCTTACCATATCACACCACACCAAATGTATTACTGTACAGCAGTTATGACGTAACTGTTGTAAGGAACAGGAAAACTCCATAATGAAAGACAGAATTCAACACCATATATGGGGAAACATGTGTTAACGAATCACAACAATAGTGGAATGACTAAAGCAACGAATAAAACATGAAACACCAAACTAAAAAGGTACTAAATAAGAGCAGGGAAAGCACCACAAAATAAAACACTAATGGCAATCAGTCTAAAAAATGGTAAAACCAGGTCATCGACCAAAAGCTAAGTGATAAAAATAGGCCTTCAGCACCGACTTAAACTCACCTAGTGACGGGGTCTGTCGTACTTGAGGCGGGAGTGCATTCCAGTGTTTGGGGGTCGCGAATGAGAAGGCCTGCTCCCCGCGAGATTTCTAATGCATCTTCGGGATGCATAGGAGCAGGTGATCTGCTGATCTCAGAAATCAAGAGGGAACATTAGGTTTAAGCAGTTCAGAGAGATAAGTGGGAGTTGGACCATTCAAGGCTTTATAAACAAAGTTGAGATCTTGAACTAAATCCGGTATTGAGCAGGTAACCAATGTAAACGGGTGAGGATGGGAGTAATGTGACAGCATCTGGAGGTGTTTGTGAAGAACCAAGCTGGGGCATTCTGTACGCTCAGTGGAGGAGACCTTAACACCGATGAAAACTTAGTTGGCATAGTCCAATCGTGAGGTGATAAAAGCGTGGATAATAGACCCCATTTCAATTAAACTCAGTGTATTTATATAGCGCCAAATCACAACAAGGGTCATCTCAAGGACCTTCACAAAGTAAACAGTACAGGTCAGTTCATTAAGCCAATCAGTAAAAAGTTTCCTATGTAAGGAACCCAGCAGGTTGCATCGAGTCACTGACTAGTGTCAGAGTCTTTACAGCAATCCTCATACTAAGCAAGCATGTAGCGACAGTGGAGAGGAAAACTCCCTTTTAACAGGAAGAAACCTCCAGAGAATCCTGGCTCAGTATAAGCAGCCATCCTCCACGACTCACTGGGGATCGAGAAGACAGAGCGCGCACACACAAACGTACGCGTGCACACACATACACACAAAGTAGCATTTTAATGGCTACATTGTGATTTCTTGGTAGGTATTCTATTTAGTGAGAGATAAACTTTATCTTAATCTTAATGAATCTATAATTAATTCAACAGGTGCACTAGTAGTAGCACATTAAACATCAAAGAAAGTAAGATGTTATTATCAGGAGAGGGAGAATGCTTAACTGGTTAGCAGCAGTGTTCAAGCCCCCTCCATGAGGCCACCACAGCTCTGCAGAACATCATTGTAGCTTCTTCTGGGGAGAAAAACACTTTGAGAAAAAATAAAGTTAACAGCTGAACTAGCAGGAAATAATGCAGTTAAGAGAGAAGTGGTAGAAGAAAGTAGTAGAGTCTGGAAAGTGGTCAGTGCCCTCCAGCAGTCTAAGCCTATAGCAGCATAACTACAGAGATAACTCTGGATAACCTAGCATATATATATATATATATATATATATATATATATATATATATATATATATATATATATATATATATATATATATATATAGATAGATAGATAGATAGATAGATAGATGGATGGATACACTCACCTAAAGGATTATCAGGAACACCATACTAATATGGTGTTTGACCCCCTTTCACCTTCAGGACTGCCTTAATTCTACGTGGCATTGACTAAACAAGGTGCTGAAAGCATTCTTTACAAATGTTGGCCCATATTGATAGGATAGCATTTTGCAGTTGATGGAGATTTGTGGGGGCCATTGTAGTACAGTCAACTCATTGTCATGTTCAAGAAACCAGTCTGAAATGATTGGAGCTTTATGACATGGTGCATTATCCTGCTGGAAGTAGCCATCAGAGGATGGGTACATGGTGGTCATGAAGGGATGGACATGGTCAGAAACAATGCTCAGGTAGTCCATGGCATTTAAACCATGCCCAATTGGCTCTAAGGCAGGGATTCCCAAAGTGTGGTGCGGTGCGCGAGCTGCCGCTAGGGGGTGCGCGAGGTGAAAAGTGTAATGGCTGCGGAGCTCAGAGAAGTCTGTCATATGTCACCATTAGCGTAGCCAGAAACTCATTTGTGGGTGGGCCTAAGAAAAAGTAAGTGGGCCCAATAAATGTAATTGAAAACAAGTATATTTTTGCGCGCGCGTGTCCTCCACATGTGCCCTAGCTTCATAATAACAATGCTCCGAGCTTCAGCACTCTGGCCTGCGCACACCGATATGTTCCGTATTTGATCGTTTTTAACGATGTTGGAGGAATCTGAAGGTGGCGAGTCATTCTGGTAGATTGTAATAAACACCCTGTCTCATGCAGGTGTTCTGACATTGTAAACCTCACACACAGAACATTGTGGATGTAACAAAATAAATCAAGAAATGATTCCCATTCAGACTATTGACAGCGCGCTGAAGATCTGAAGTTCAGAGTGCGTCTGTCAGAGGTCAGACGCGTTCCAGTGGAACCACGGCTCACGGGAGCACAAGTGAGCACATCCGGGCTGGGCAGATGTAATTTTACAACATTGGTTTAAATAGAGAGGGGTTAAAGTAAGCAGGAACCTGACCAGAAACCATAGAAGCATTAATTATAGAGAGCACGCTGGGACCGATGGACTGAAAAGCACTTTTAAACAGAGATTAGGGTAAGATGTGGAGGGGGCATCCCGAGGTCTCCATAGAGTTAACTAGTTTGGTTAATTCAGGCAGAGAAACAGGAGCAAAGCTATCTAGGATGATGGGCCTGGTTGGAGTTGGGAGAGGCAGCAATAAGGCTGAAGGAGAGATGCTGATCTAACCTTATTGACTTTGTCCACAAAGAAAGACAGAAAGTTCTCACAGTCTGCAACAGAGTGGATGGAGGCTGTAGGAGAGGCAGGAGAGACAATACTGCTGATGGTGTTAAACAGCACCTTGGGGTTCCCTTTGATGGGAAGGGTCTTCGGAAACTGGGGACGATTGGAAGGATAAAAGAGTGGTGAGCATTTGAGATGGTAGCCTGGACAGTAAGAAGGTGGGAAGGAAAATGTTAGTTGGCAAAAGTTTGAAAGAGTGGCTAAAACAGCAGCGATGCCAGGTGCCATCTTTTTACCGGCTGATTACAATTGGTTCGGAATTTGGCAGCCAGGTTGCTGGTTGGGATAAGTAGGGGGGATCATGTTACTCCCTTGTTGTTTTATCTGCACTGGCTCCGGTGTATGACCAGGCAAATGTTAAGCTAGTGCTGTACGTATGTAGGGCTCTGCTGGGCAGTGCTCCCCCAGACCTAGCTACATTGTTGAACAGGCACATCCCTTCTCAGTCTTTTCACTCTGATTCGCAGAACGTGCTGGTCGTCCCACTCTCCAAAAACAAACGGAGGGGGGATTGAGCCTTTTCGGTGATGACTTTGACCTGATGTTTTATTGCTGCTCTTATAAATTATATCTTTTTTTCCCCCCTGATTTTTCCAAAGTAACTCACTCTGTCTCTGGTTTTGTGTCTTCCAGATATATGTTTAGTAAAGGTGCAAAGCGGAAGCTGGACAATGATGAAGAGGAGCTGGAAGGCAAAGCGTTGGAGGCGTCGTTGGATGGAGGCGGGGTAGGTGTGGGTCTGGCAGGCCGGTCTAAGGTGTCCTACACCCTGCAGAGACAGACCATCTTTAACATCTCTCTGATGAAGCTCTACAGCCAGCGCCCGCTGGGAGAACCCCAGCTAGAGCGCCGTGTGCTGATCAACAACATGCTGAGGCGCATCCAGGACGAGCTGAAGCAGGAGGGCTTGCTGCAGCCACTGCTGCTGCCACCTTCGCCGCCCCCCGACGACTCAATGGATGACGGCTTCCGGGAGGCGCCGCCATCGTTTGGTGTTATGTCTGCAGGTGTGTCTCAGCCTTCAGCCCTGGTGATGCTGCCGAATCCTTCACCGCCCTCACTGGTGCCTTCCCCCTGCCAGGCTTCACACACCAGCCCCCATCATCTGGAGGCCTGCCTCACACCAGCGTCTCTGCTGGAGGACAACTGTGTCCCCTCCCCTCTCACGTTCCCCCATTCTCTGTCCCCAGTGAACCAGGCATCCCTCAGGGGCTCTGTGCCTGATAGCCCCACCCTCAGAGATATAGAGTTGGATCCTTCCACAGCCATATCAAGGACAGCGGCAGCCAACACTACAACCATCACTACCTCCCCCTCTCCAACCCAGTCAGCACCTGTCTCACCCACAGGCTCACCCAGAGACCTCAGGACTGTGGGTCCTAAGCCAGAGGCAGCCGCTGTACTTTTAGTGGAGGTGAGCTCTCCACCACACCCTCCATCTTGTCTAGAGGACACTTCTCCTGCTGCTTTATCCTCTCCTTCCACAAGCTTCCTCTCAGAATTAGCGTTGGACGACGTCCTGTTTGCTGACATCGACACATCGATGTATGACTTTGACCCCTGCATGACGGCGGGGGTGGTGGCAGCAGCGGGAGGCAGCCTTGCCAAGCTGCCACCAGTGGTGAATGCAGACGACCTTCTCAAATCGCTGATGTTACCGTACAGTGGCTCCGCCCCCCAGGTTTCAACCAATCAGCCTTTCAAATTAGATTTGACAGAACTGGACCACATCATGGAGGTCCTGGTAGGATCGTGACTCATGGACATCTGAGACTTTTTATCCCAGCATTCAAATGTGGGATTTTTTTATCTGCTTCCTCTTATAAATGAGAGAGAGGGAGAAGTTACAGGTGTGTTAGCGCAGTTGTTGCTAACCTGCCCAGACCATCTCCTCACATAGGAGATAAAATGTTCCTGTAATTGTAAAATGTGAGCTGATGTCAGCTGGAACTACAATGACAGCTATTACACAACACTACACACACACACACACACACACACACACACACACACACACACACACACACTTGCACTTCTGTACTTGTGGGGCCTTTTTTTAAAAACTCTGTCTTTTAGTCTGAAAGGAAAACGTCTCTGCCTGTGCGTGCGTGTGTGTGTGTGCGTGCGCAACTCCACACCTGAGCTGATACAGACGTATGAATCTGGCTTTAGAGATGAACCGATATGGGTTCAACTGAAGCAATATGCTCTCTGAACCTAATTAGGTTTAGAACTGAAACTTAATTCTGAACACTGGTCAGTATTAAAATCAAACAACATTTAACCAAAGTTAATCAAACAAATCAATATGCCGACCAAATTATCAAATATACAAAACACGTGAATAAAAATAATCAGTTGACAATTTTATTTCAGAGTGTTTATGAAGCTGGAAGGTTAATATGCATTTAGATAAAGGAATCTCCTACCATCTTTATGCAGATGACATCCAACTGTACATCTCCTCTAAGCCCCATGAGATGTCTAAGCTGCAGCTGTTACACACCTGCTTAGACTCCATTAAAACCTGGATGGTGGGAGCTTTCTACAGCTGAATGAAGATAAGACTGAGATCCTCATCTGTGCTCCAGACAAGCTGGTTCCCAAAGTCAGAGACTCTCTTGGTCAGCTTGCTTCTCACACCAACCTTCTGTCAGGAATCTTGGTGTGACCACCTGTTGACTCTTCCTCACTAGCTTATCTTCATGCTGCTGCTTCTACCGATTCAGTCCCGCATTGCCTTGTCTTATTAATTTCTGTCTTCCTTCACATTTTTTATTAACATTTTTCCATTTTCTCTATTTTTTTAGTGCAATATTTTTAAGTAATGTTTTGTTTTTGTTAAATGCCTCCTGAATTTTATCTTGAGAGGTGCAATATAAAAATAGTTTCTTCTCCTTCTTTTTAAATAAAATAAATACAACTTTATAGTACAAATAAAAAAATACTGAAAAATATCCTAATAAGTCAACATTAAACTACAAAACTAAGTATTGTTCTAAAACACAACAACAACATTACATGTTTTTAACAACCTCCTCCTTTCATTTATGTATTGATACAGCACCGTCCTACCGCCAGTGGCCAACAGTGCGCAACAGGATAAAGGCCAAAAATAACAGTCAAAGCAAATAAACCCAGGAAAATGAACCAACGGTGACGTGAACTAAACCTTTTGTGTTGTTCTGCCTTAGCAGCGGCATTGTAGCAGCAAAGCCCTCGTTTCTGAGTCTGAAAATCTAGAGCTCCTATCTGGATGTCCGAGGATGTGCCTGTCTTTAAATCAGCCTGATATATTGATCTAGTCCTAAGTAAAGTTATGCATCATTGTGGAGAAAATATACCTCACAGGTACAGAAACACACACACACACACACTGTGTAATTATGACTTTTAGCAGCTGAGTGCCTTTAAATGACCATTTATTTAGTTTCAGTTTTCAGTAAAGTCCTCTCACCCCTGCAACCTACGGGGCTAAAGTTCACCTTTAATTCATTACCTTGTAGTAAGACTGCTAATAACTGAGGTTATTTTACATGATCAAATAATAATTATTTAATCTTTATCCTATTCTTCATGCTTTGTTTTTGTCATGAGGTAGACCAGGAAGAGGGTGGTGGGAGCTAGCGTAAGCTTAGCTTCAGAAACGTACTGCATCAAGGCCCCTTCTCCTCCTCCCACCAGGCCTTACTCGTCTCCATCCTGATAGCTCTGCTGCTTTACTGGTTTACATGTGAGAAGTCAGGAATGGGGACTCCACCCTCCCTGAAGATCACTGACCCAGAGAGGGGCTCCAGCACACAGTGGTGTGATCTGCAGATCCAGGTGAAACGGGGTCCTCTCTGTGTGGTTTGTGCCTAAAGAGGAGGGGGCGGGGCTGACACAGACCCAACCAAACCAGTTTTAACCTGAAGCTGCGGATGACAGGACAGCAGGTTTCCTTCAGATTTGTGCGTTTAAAGTGTAAGGAGCTCTTCTACGTGGAACCATCCATCAGACCCATCTGAGCCACTGGAATGAAACCAGTTCCAGCAGTTTGTGCTGGCCCCAACTCGTCACTCTCCTCCCAATATGTTGAACTGGAATCAGACTCCAGCGTCAGGTTTCTACCTTCTCTTTGAATGTTGGTTTGATTTCCATTTAGATTATTTATTACTCCTTCAGTTTATTTTTTTGTTTACTGTGTAAATATATTTATTTTTGATGTGAACAAAAGGATTATAAATGTGTACAGACTGTGTGTTGGGAATGACTTCCAGGAAGGAATGCATTTGTGTGGATCATCCGGTGGGAGACTTGTTATTGATTTATTTTCTGGGGTGGGAGCCATTCAGTTTTATATATTTTCTACGTATTTGTTTTTGTTCCTCAGCTGAAAGCAAACTGTTGATGCAGCAATATTTGTAAAAATCCCGTCTTCAACGTTCAGATGTCAAGAATCCAAAGCCCGTAACGGACGCTTCAGCGCCCAGAGCAACGCTGCCAGCGGCACCACATGGTCCGGATGCTGCCTGAGCAGAAACAGCCTGATGCTCCTTTTCCTGAGTCTGTAGAAACAGACTTTAGAGTGCCTTCTTCTATGCAATACAACACACACACACACACACACACACACACACACACACACACACACACACACACACACACACACACACACACACACACACACACACACACACACACACGATGAGCACTCTGCTCTGTAGATAATATTGAAAGGGCATATATATATATATTATGTGTATATATATATATGTATGTGTGTGTGTATTTAAATTAAAGTATAACGTCAACCTTTCTTATTGTGTGTGTTGCATCTGTACAACATTTGTCTTTCATGGTACGCTAAAGCCAAGCACACACTGCCATCTTTTTCAGCTTCATCTCAAACTGTACAGCTTGGTCCCGGCGCACCACTCGTGCTCACACTGTACGAACCAATGCTCAGATATGACCTCACTGCTCTGACTGTGTGGTAGAAGCACATCAGACCTAAAACAGGTTTAAAACACTACTCATTGGACCTTTGGATTCAGAATTCCATCAGAAACCAGGAAGTGAATAAGAAGAAAGATCTGGATGTGGAGATGCATTTGTTTTGAGTATAAAACAATGGCCATCAAAAAGAAATGGCTATTCTTTCCATTTATCGTGTCAAAAACTATAAAAAAGGAGACAACATGTAGGTGCTGGTCATAAAATGAGAATATCAGGACTAAGTTGATTTATTTCAGTAATTCCATTCAAAAAGTGAAACTTGTATTAGGTACATTTATTTCTTATAGACTGATAAAATGTTTGTTTCTTTAATTTTGATGATTATAACTGGCAATTAATGTAAATCACATTCATTATCTCAGAAAATTAGAACATTGTGAAAAGGTTCAATATTGAAAATCCCTGGAGCCACGCTGTAATCAGCTGATTAACTCAAAATACCTGCAAATGCCTTGAAATTGTCTGTCAGTCTAGTTCTGTAGGACACACACTCATGGAGGACACAGCTGACTTGACGGTTGTCTAAAAGACGACCATTGACACCTTCCACAAGGAGGGCAAGCCAACAGGTCATTGCTAAAGAGGCTGGCTGGTCAGAGCTCTGTGTGTAAGAAAGGACAGGAGAAGGGAAGGACAAGATGTGGTACAAAACATGTACAAGCAATAAGGACAACCACACCCTGGAGAGGACTGTGAAACAACCCATTCAACAATGTGGGGAGATTCACAAAGAGTGGACTGCAGCTGGAGTCAGAGCTTCAAGAACCACCACACACACATATATACAAGACATGGTTTCATCTGTTGCATTCCTTCTGTCAAGCCACTCTTCAACACGAGACAGCATCAGAAGCGTCTCACCTGGGCTATAGACAAAAAGAACTAGACTGCTGCTGACTGCAGTAATGTTATGTAGTGAGAATTGGGTGTTAAATTATGACCAATAAGAAGTGATTATTCTATATAAAAAAAGAAAATCAACCTGGTTGATCTTTGAATGTTTAACGAGAAGAATTTAGGATTCTTTGCTTATTCTATTCAATTCAATTCAAGTTTATTTATGTAGCACCAAATCACGACAAGAGTCGTCTCAAGGCACTTTACATAATAAACATTCCAGTACAGTTCAGTTCATTAAGCCAATCAGAAATTTTCATTCAGGGACCATAAAAACACTTCGTATTAATTCTGACAGAGTCAGGTATATAGTTGAAAATAAACTTTATTTTCTAGAGTAATTATAATACATGAAAAGCTATGAATAATGATATGTGATGGAATGGTTGTGTGTGATGACGGTGTAAAGTAGATGTATGTCAGAACCTTAGTATCTGAAAGAGATTGTGAATTCTGGGTGTAGAGAATTTTGTGGTCTGCTATAAGCTAGAGAGTTAATTATTCATGAAACAGCATCAGACGCAATCTGTTGTGTCTACTAACCCTGATCGGAGACCCCCAGCAGATCCGGAATGTCGGGAAGTCGTGGTAGACCTTAAGGCACCGAAGTTCATAGAATAACCGCAGTATGACCAGCTCCGGTCTAGAGTTGTCTCCGGGTCACAACAGGCAGGAAGTCTCGTTGCGTCTAAGCCAGATGTCTGAGAGTTGCAGTAGCTCTGGAACGACCTGTTGTGTCTGTAATCCCTTGCAGCGTTATGGCAAGGTTTTGACTTAAGGTCAAAGGAGGTTGTTTCAAACAGGCTTCTTTCCCGATTTGGCCGAATCGAGGTGTCAGCTAGAAGCTGAAAAACTCGGGAAGTCATCCTAGTTTTATTAATCTCCATGTTATGATTCTGGCGAATCATAATCTGACATGTTTGTAGTTTTACCAAACACCCCTCAGAAACCACGCCTTCCAGATACAAGAATGTTCTAGTTCTGTGGATAAAGAATCTTTATGTGCAGTGACGTTAACTTTAACCTTGTGTCATATGTGTATGAGAGTATGGTTGATTAACTTGTCACGTCAAGTACACTGATAATAAGATAAATGGATAATTTGCAAGAACAATATTCAATTCAGCTTAATAGATTTAGCACAGATTATTCAAATATTTCATTTAACCATATTGCTCATTCATCGTTCATTCTTCATTATTTTAACTGTTCACTTTTATTCTGTGAGAAATCCAGCAGTCTGAGATAAGAGGAAAGCTATTGTCCGAAGATCTTGGGGAAGAACACTTTGTTGACAATCTTGTGTCCTGGAATGTCAACAAGCACTGTAGAATCTTTCTTGGTTCAGAAAATTAGAAAACACACAGAAGCAGATTTGTTCCTGTGGATTAAAGGGTCACCATGTAGGTCAAAATATAGATGGAAATTGACCCTTTCTGGATGTTACACTGCTCCAAAGTTATGATCTCTGTCTAAAGAAAATTTTGCATTTCCTTTGGAAATCAAGTTCCCAGAGTCTGGAGGAAAAGAGGACACAGAGTCCACGTTGTTTGAGGTCCAGTGTAACGTTTCCACAGTCAGTGATGGTTTGGAGCACCATGTCATCTGCTGGTATTGGTCCATTGTGTTTTCTGAGGTCCAAGGTCAATGCAGACATCTATCAGGACGTTTTAGAGCATGTCATGCTTCTTGCTGCTGACCAACTTTATGGAGATGCGGATTTCATTTACCAACAGGACTTGGCTTCTGCACACAGTGCCAAGCTACCAGTACCTGGTCTAAGGACCATTGTATCTCTGTCCTTGATTGGCCAGCAACCTGACCTGACCTTAACCACGTAGAAAATCTGTGGCGTATTGTGAAGAGGAAGATGGAATACGCCAGACCCAACAATCCAGAAGACCTGAAGGCCACGATCAGAGCAACATGGGCTCTTCTAACACCTGAGCAGTGTCACACACTGATGGACTCCATGCCACACCGCATTGCTGCAGTGATCCAGGCCAAAGGAGCCCCAAATAAATATTGAGTGCTGTACATGTTTGTTATGGATCCTGGGCTCCCGCACCTTAAATGGCCCAGTCCTGCTCCCTCAATGCTGTTCAGGACCTTGGACAGGTCCTCCGTCAGGTTGACCTCCGCCTCGGCCCGCCCACTCTGCACCAGCTGTGGACAATCTTCTGATGAGGAATGCTAGTGAAAAGGACTCTGGCTTCGGTGTCTTGGAGAGAGACACAGCTTAACACCCTGTCTTTCTCTCCTCGGTTTTGATCTTAGAGACAAACGACTTAGATTTGGGTGAAATTCGATAAAGAACGTGAATAAGTGTGATAATTAAGGTAGATTGTTTCCGTTTGTTTCACCATCGAGTATTATTAGTCGTTTTCGTTTAGTGATCCCGTTTTGTCTGCCATAGTGCTTGAATTTCAGTTTGTTTTCCACTTTAGAGCTCGGTTTTGTGATTCGGATAGACCAGGTTTGACTTCAGATAACTGTAATTAGTATCGATTATTTGATTATTTTCCTCAGCTCAAATGTCCGTGCGTGTGTGTGTAAGTGTTTGGGGAGGGTACATTGGAACTTTGTCCCCCCAGTTTGAAAATCCTATCTGCACCCCTGCCTGCTGGAGACGGTTGCGCGCAGCTGCGGCCCAGGTTTCAGCTCACCTGCCCCTGGCTGGGACTGTCTGTGTGTGTGTGTGTGTGTGTGTGTGTGTGTGTGTGTGTGTGTGTGTGTGTGTGTGTGTGTGTGTGTGTGTGTGTGTGTGTGTGTGTGTGTGTGTGTGTGTGTGTGTGTGTGTGTGTGTGTGTGTGTGTGTGTGTGTGTGTGTGTGTGTGTGTGTGTGTGTGTGTGTGTGTGTGTGTGTGTGTGTGTGTGTGTGTGTGTGTGTGTGTGTGTGTGTGTGTGTGTGTGTGTGTGTGTGTGTGTGTGTGTGTGTGTGTGTGTGTGTGTGTGTGTGTGTGTGTGTGTGTGTGTGTGTGTGTGTGTGTGTGTGTGTGTGTGTGTGTGTGTGTGTGTGTGTGTGTGTGTGTGTGTGTGTGTGTGTGTGTGTGTGTGTGTGTGTGTGTGTGTGTGTGTGTGTGTGTGTGTGTGTGTGTGTGTGTGTGTGTGTGTGTGTGTGTGTGTGTGTGTGTGTGTGTGTGTGTGTGTGTGTGTGTGTGTGTGTGTGTGTGTGTGTGTGTGTGTGTGTGTGTGTGTGTGTGTGTGTGTGTGTGTGTGTGTGTGTGTGTGTGTGTGTGTGTGTGTGTGTGTGTGTGTGTGTGTGTGTGTGTGTGTGTGTGTGTGTGTGTGTGTGTGTGTGTGTGTGTGTGTGTGTGTGTGTGTGTGTGTGTGTGTGTGTGTGTGTGTGTGTGTGTGTGTGTGTGTGTGTGTGTGTGTGTGTGTGTGTGTGTGTGTGTGTGTGTGTGCGCGCACTGTGATGCTCACTGGCCGTGGTGTGCTGGCTAAGAGGAGGCTAATCACCTCGCTCAACAACACCTAAGGGATGCAAATCAGAAAATGAAGATAAACTTTGACAAAAAGGCAGTTGTCAGAACTCTACAACCTGGAGACCGAGTTTTGCTATTAAATCCTGTAGTGGGTTCTTCGTTGTCTCCCAAGTTCGAGGGCCCTTTTGAGATTCTCTCCAAACAAAATGAATGTAACTATGTGATCAGAACTCCTTTAATGAGAAAGAAAACCATGCCTTGCCACGTTAACCGTTTAAAGTTGTTTCGTGAATGTGATAACCCTTTGACTCAGTCTTGTCTAGTCTCTGCAGAGGTTCCTC